TTTGAATATGAAAACGTGTTCTAATGTGCCAAAATTTTAGAATTAATGTATCGATGTGTCGCATCTTATCACGTATTGATATCGATGCAACATATAATTTGGCAGTAAGCCCTTCTTACCATATGCCTCTACAACTATATTGAGAGTTTCCTCGTCGAGTTTATAGGCATACTGTGTTAATATATCAGTATATGCAATAATCTGTATTCAGTTAGTTTGTAATCAATTCTGTTAGTTAGAAGTTAGTTATTTTCTGTTATTTACAGTTATGTCAATTTTAGCTTGTACACTATAGTCATTAGCTGATGTATAAATATCAGCAATGTGAACTTGGAATACAACTTGATCACTTTACATCTTTCATCAAGATTCAATATGGTATCAGAGCTCTGGTGTCCACACCCTCATTCTTTTTCAGAAATTCCTTTTTTTTTCCTTCTTCTCCTTCTTATTATTCGAGATATCCTTTCTTTCATCAATCAAGAAAATGGCAGATCAAAATCCAAATACAGCTCCATCTCCTCCAACTCAAAATACAGCACCAGAATCCAATCCTTATTATTTGCATCCCAATGAAAGCCCATCGTTGATTTTAGTATCTCCTCCAATGAATGGAAAGAATTTCCATACATGGCAGAGATCAATGCGCATGGCACTTTTGTCCAAGAACAAGGTTGGTTTTGTTAATGGAACCATCAAGAAACCATATGATAATAGTCCTCTTTTTGGAGCATGGGAGAGGTGCAATACTATGATAATTTCTTGGCTTAATCATTCTATCTCGGAATCTATTGCACAATCTGTTCTTTGGATGGATAAGGCAGATGACATTTGGAACAACTTAAAGGATAGATTTGCTCAAATTGATATTTCAGAGTTTCTGATCTTCAAGATGAAATATTCAAATTACAGCAAGGAGACAAATGTGTTTCAGATTACTTCACCCAGCTAAAGATTCTGAGGGATGAATTAAAGAGCTTGCAACCATTTTTACCATCATGCGCATGTGGAGCAGCAACACAAGTCAAAGATACTCGTGAAAGAGATTATGTGATAAGATTCCTGAAAGGGTTAAATGACCAATTTGAGCATGTGAGAGCTCAGGTAATGCTATTAGATCCTCTTCCTTGTGTTAACAAAGTATTTTCTTTAATTCTTAAGCAAGAAAGACGTTTGAAAATAGGAGCCAATGTTTCTGGTATCCAAGATCCACAAACTTTTATCAATATTGCTGAACAACAAAGATCCAGAGGACCAATGGACAGAGGACAGATTCAATACAATCAAAACTTCAATCAAGGAAGAGGTCGTGGAAATAAATTTTGCACATATTGCAAAAGATCAAACCATATTATTGAAACATGCTAACTTCAGCATGGATTTCCACCGGGCTACAAAACTAGAAGACCACATACTGCTGCAAACTTTGCTTCACCAAAATTAGTTGATATTGCTGATAATACTGATGCAAAAAATGAACAAGAAACTCTGAATCTTGCATTTTCAAAAGAACAACATCAAGAAATCCTAGAGCTTCTACAAAGATCAAAACTGACACATTCATCCAACATGGTTCAAACACATTCATCTGCTTTCAATATAGGTAACACAATATCAGGTATAAAATCAAACCATTGGATTCTGGATACTGGAGCTACTAATCACATCACATACAGTTTTTCTAATCTTTCATGTATCCAATCCATAAATCCCATACACATAACACTTCCAAATGGTACTCAAGTTACCAGAACACAGTCAAGCACAGCTAGAATTTCTGATTCCCTAGTTCTCAAAAATGTTCTTTATGTTCCATCTTTTCGTGTCAATTTAATTTCAGTCACCAAACTTCTTCAAGACACTCATTCCTATATCCTTTTCCATGATTTAACTTGTTTCATTCAACAGATTTCAACCAACCAGACAATTGGTTAAGCTAAACAAATCGATGGGCTCTACATATTAAAGACACATGAAGAATTTGTAAAGAAAAGCTTCAGCAATAAAGTGACCTCAAATGATGCACTGATATGGCACCAAAGACTTGGTCACCTGTTATGAAGACTATGTCCATTTACCTCCCTTTCATTTCATGTAATAAAATTGACCCTTGTGATGTATGTCATTTTTCAAAACAACGAAAATTACCTTACCTTTCTAGCACAATCAAAATTGCATCTCCTTTTCAATTAATACATACTGATATTTAGGGTCCCTTTTCAACAACTTCTTTACATGGTCATCGATATTTCTTAACAATTGTAGATAAGTTTACACGTTTCACATGGGCTATTCTTCTAAAGAATAAAGCTGAGGCACGTACCAACTTAAGACACTTCATTGCCTATATTGAAAACCAGTTCAATTCTTCCATAAAAATCATCAAAAGTGATAATGGAGCTGAATTCATTATGACTGACTTCTATCTCTCTAAAGGGATTAAACATCAACGTTCTTGTGTTGAATCACCCCAACAAAATGGGGTTGCAGAACATAAGCACCAACATATATTGATATATTAACATGGTATTGCACTTCTCCCAAATTCATTACAAGAAGCAGACCACTGTATCAAAAAACTCATCTGAAGCAGAATATAGATCACTTGCAAGTTTAGTATGTGAACTTCAGTGGTTTTCATTTCTACTCAGAGATCTTCACATGCCTTTATGTCAACCCATTTCAGTTTTTTGTGATAACAAATCAGCCATTTACTTGGCCCATAACCCTGCATTTCATGAAAGAAGTAAACATATAGATATCGACTGTCATGTTGTCCGTGAACATGTTCAATCAGGTCTTATTCACCTTCTTCCAATTCATTCTGCAGATCAGATAGCAGATCTATTAACCAAAGCTCTCCATCGTACGTTGTTTTATACACTATTACACAAATTGGGAATGAAAGACATTCATATCCCAACTTGAGGGGGGTGTTAATATATCAGTATATGCAATAATCTGTATTTAGTTAGTTTGTAATCAATTCTGTTAGTTAGAAGTTAGTTATGTTCTGTTATTTACAGTTACGTCAATTTTAGCTTGTACACTATAGTCATTAGCTGATGTATAAATATTAGCAATGTGAACTTGAAATACAACTTGATCATTTTACATCTTTCATCAAGATTCAATATACTGCAGCATTTTCTCCAAAAGTTTGATCGCGGACTTGATTTGTGACCGAGACGAACAAAGTTGTCCCACTAACTTATTCAGACAGGAATGGAAAATGATTGCTTTCTCATATGGATTCTGAAAAGGAATGCAACAAAGAAGAATTGAATTACAAAATAGAATTGCTTTATAATTTTTTTTAAGGGTTTGGTGTTTATTCTTTTAAAGAACATAGAATTATGTCATTTTAAGTGACAAAAAAAGATATACAATGAAAATCATGGAGGAGAAAGTGAGTATTTTTAATTTAAATTTTAAATAAAACATACTAGTTTTTACTAAATTGATCATACTCTAAAAGGACAATTTTTTTTTAATTAGGGTCATTTTTTATATTTCACATATAATTTATAATTTTTTGAGTAAGTGTATTATCATTATTTTAAGAGGAAGGTTATACTTACAACCTATTTTTATTTACAACCTTTTACAACCACATCTTAATCGTTAATTTCCGTCAATCAACTGTTTTTATTTTTGCAAATTAAACTCGTAAATTAATTATTAATTCGCAATAAATGATAATCGTTGATTGATGGAAATCAACGGTAAAGATATGATTGTAAAAGATTATAAAAAAAAATAGATTGTAAGTATAATATTTTTCATATTTTAAATAATAAGGACATTTGAGGGGCTAATGATGTATTTTATAACCACAATGAGTTTGAGTAATAAATTTAAAATCGCAAAGAATTAAGTGATAATTGTTGTAACCGCAACGAGTGAACTTGAAAATTTTTCAATGTATTTTTAAGCAAATGATATTTAAAAAAAGTATTTATTTTTTATTCTATTCAATATTTTATAATATATAACTAAATATTAAGCAATATTATTTTTTATAATGTAATATTTTATACGGCATCACACTAGATAATAGTAAATTTTTTTAAGTCTTTTTATATCAGATCTTATTTCATTAGACCATACCTTTATAATATACTATTAAACTTTATTTTATCTTGCACATCAAGTGAGCCATTATAATGGGATCAGCTAAATTTTAGGAAAAGAAAAATTTTAAAAGGGTTTTTCTGACTATCCTTATTAAAGTACACGTATGCCTCTTCACAAAGAAAATTACACTTAATGCCATTATTATCCTGATCGATAATTTTAGAGAAACGAATACTTATTTTTTTTTTATCTTTATAAAGAATATAATTTTATAATATTTTAGATCCTAACCGTTAATTTTCATCAATCAATAATTATATTTTATTATGAATTATTTATTAATTAATTAATAATTCACAATAGATTATCATCATTAATTGATGAAATAGTATAAAATTATATCATTTAAACTTTTTAAATTATTTTTATCTTTTTTACATAAAAAAAACTTATTCATCAAACAGAAAAAGGCTTCATATTGTACACTAACTCTAACTCCAACTCTAACTCTTAACAATAAAATCATTGTTAAATCATGAGTGTACATAAAATAAAATATTTTTCGTAATATCAAATATTAATTAAATGATTAATTGTGGACAAGAAATAACTTAAGTAAATTATAAATTAAATTTAAAATAAATATCCTTTTTGATTCTTAACAAATTTCACGATGTCCGTTTTAGTCCCTAGCAAATAAAAAGATCCGTGTGATTTCTAAGAAATTCAAAATAGATCCATTTAGTTAAAAACGTAGTTCCTCACAAATTCAAAAAAGACACATATTAATTCCTAAAAGAACTAAAATAGTACATTTTAAATTTTTTAAGAATCACAATGTATTGTTTTATCTGTCGAGAAGGACGTATTTACTATTAAATTTAAAAGGCTCTACAAGTTAAGGATTTTGAGAAAAAATCAATCAATCATCGGTTTCGAACTTTACGCGATGGGAAGGCCATCCTCCACGGTTGAGATCCCTTACGAACGCCACCGACAAAACGGTCGCCGCCGCACGCCTGACTCCGATGTCTCGGACGACTATCACAGCCGCCGCCGCAGCCCAAACTACGACTCGTACGACCGCCACGACGGCCGCCGCCGCCACAGCCGTCGATCGGAATCGCCCGAACAAAGAAGCCCTAGATACACCAACGGAACTTCCAACGAAGACGCTCTGCCTAAGAAATTCGGCCGCCCAAACGGTGCGTATCTGGACCGCGACCGCGGGGATTGGCGGCGCTCCGATTCGGAGTCGGACGAGGAGTTGAAGGGTTTGAGCTACGAGGAATACAGAAGGCTCAAGAGGCAGAAGATGAGGAAGACGCTGAAACACTGTATCTGGAACGTTACGCCGAGTCCTCCGAGGCGCGAGAACGAAGATCTGGAATATGATAACAAAGCTGAAGAAATTCCTGAGAAATACGGAGATGACGGCGCTGGCAAGATCGACAAGGAGGTTAAACCTAGAGGAAAATCTGAATTAGCGTCAGAGAAATCTGAATCGGACGATTCTCGTTCGAGGAAGAAGAGAAGAAAGAGTTCTGCTGGTTCTTCCAGGAAATCGTATAGCGATAGCGAATCGGAAGAAGAAGAAGAAGATCGTAATCGGAGAAAGAGTAGGAAGAGTAGGAGGAAAGGGAGCAGGAGGAAGAGAAGGTATAGCGATTCAGATGAGAGTGAAGAGAGCGAAAGTGATGACTCTGATGTTAGTGATGTTTCTGAAGAAGAAGAAGAAGATCGTAATAGGAGAAAGAGTAGGAGGAAAGGGGACAAGAAGAAGAGAAGGCATAGCGATTCAGATGAGAGCGAAGAGGGCGAAAGTGATGACTCAGATGGTAGTGGAACAAAGAGGAAGCGCTCTTCTTCAGGTTCTGGATTGAAACGGAGAAGGAGAAGAACAAAGAAAAAGTCTGAAACAGAAAGTGAGGGTTTATTTTCTGAGGACGAGAATGGGTCGGGTTCCGGTTCCGGTTCGGGTGGTGCAAATAGTAAAGCAATTGCTGATGAGTTGAAGAAGATGGAGATGAATGCTGAGGCTCTCAAGTTAAAGGAATTGTTCGAGTCACAAAAGAAACCCGCTTTGGATAACGAACCTGCGGTTGGGCCAATGCCCTTGCCTAGAGCTGAGGGGCATATAAGCTATGGTGGGGCGCTTAGGCCCGGTGAAGGTGATGCCATTGCGCAGTACGTTCAACAAGGGAAGCGTATTCCTCGTAGAGGTGAAGTGGGTCTTTCTGCAGAGGAGATTCAGAAGTTTGAGAGCCTTGGTTATGTAATGAGTGGTAGTAGGCATCAGAGGATGAATGCCATTCGTATTAGGAAAGAAAACCAGGTTTACAGTGCCGAGGACAAGCGTGCTTTGGCTATGTTTAACTATGAAGAGAAGGCCAAAAGGGAGCATAAGGTTATGGCTGATCTGCAGCGCCTCGTGCAGCGCCACATTGGCCAGGATGTTGGTCCAACTCATGATCCTTTTGCTCCAAAAGCATCCGATGGTGCTGATGCCTGATATTCATGTATGTTCAGCTTGTTTTCTTTCCCTTTATTTATAGTTGCACATTGCTTTTCTGTTCTGTTGGCTATATTGTTATTTTGTGGGATTTATGGATTTGGAGAATGTATTAGAAAATAGAGAAAAAAGAACTCATCGTCTTCATTAACTTGGCGTTTGAGTTTATAGACAAGGAGAGTGGTGTACGCTTTACACTATGAGCTAACATTAGTGAATTGCAGCTTACATAGCAGCCTAATTAACTTGATTAACATAAGTACAAACGTAACTACTATAACAGCTTGATTAATGCAACATATGTCCGTTTCTGTGAATTGTTATGGAATGGCTACATTGGTAGATTTATTATTTATTGCAACTTGCAAAGCACGTTGATTTAATTTTAGAAACATGTTTCTCTGCTGCCAGTGGGTTTTTTGATTGCTCCTCTTCGCTTTGATTATTTGTTGGAGGGGAGTAGCTGTATTTGCTGTTGATGTTAAGTTCTTCAATTTGTTAATTAGGAATGGACCTGGTTTTTTTGATTGGTAATTGCCTGATGCCCTTTTGGATGGGATTGCACAATTCCAAGTTTTCATCTTACTTTTTGACTGCTGCTGTTGCTTCTACGTTCTGCTGGTATGGTGTAATTATGATATGCTTATTGGGGCCACCATTGAACTTGTTAAATCAGATATTTGCTTGTTTGTTTGGTCAAATTCGCAAATGAACTTTGGGATTTTCTTTTGCTAGCTTTCTTGGTTGTTGAATGTTGATTTGTTGCAATCTGTTGTGCATGGCTTCATTAGCTACTTGTCGGTGCTTAGCTAGATATGTTATTTCTTTGATGGGTCTGATTAATACTGGGCTGTTTACCTTCATTAGCTACTTGTTCTGCACTGATCCCTTAATGGAGATAATTCTGATACTTTTGTTTTGCTTCCAACAGATAACTGTGTTTTCTTATGACTTCTTATTGATATTATTGTGTGGCTTTCCTCATTGCATTGTCATATATATTTCACTTCTCTATCACTTGTGTGTACCCCTACAATGAAATGACAAATAGGAGAATTTGGTATACAACATTGCCACTAGCTAGAATTCAATTAGTAGTTGAAGTCAGAGGGTGCAATATTTCCTATTATATGATTTGATAAGTAATGGGTTGTTTTTCTTCTTTTGCAGGATGGTTTCCCAACAAGATGTTGCCTGTTTGACCTCTGTTGCTCTTAAGGATTGATTAACCATTGTGTATTGGGCATGCGAGGCTCATTTATTTTGCTTTTCTAATTATTAATGTCTTAGATCGAAGTCAATGTAGCAATAGTATTTGTAGTTTCAGTTTTAATTTTGTAAATGACTGTATTGTACTGTTTAGTCCGGTATTTGAAGTCAATTTGTGCCGATGGTGGTATAACATCTGATTGCTATTTGTGCAATCATGAACCTTTTTTACCTTTTTGATGGTGAAGGTATACTGATTACTGAAATAATTTGTACTTTGCAAGTTTGCATGCATTTTATTTCCCCCTTGAAGAATTGAAAGTTTCATGTCTACGCAAAAAGGGTCTTATCGCTGACTACATATATGGAGTGGAAAATTGTAAACTTATCTTGTGTATCTATGATTCGGTTGTTACTAATTATTTGAAGCATAATATAGTAACTGTGCTTTAGTGCTAATTGGTTCGCAGACATAACTTTTAGGGGAGATGCTTTACTATGTGCTCACAACAGGCTCGAGACAACATACCCTTGGAGAGGAATGCTGTGACATCACTCAGGTGTTGATAGTGCTAATAATCTCTTTTGGTGTAACTTTATTTTATATTTTTTCAAATCAAATTCTTCTAAGTTGAGTAGTATGGGTATTTTGAAGTGAAAATACTGGAATGAATGGGACCTGGAGCACTCAATCGTAGAATTGATCCGTTCTTATTGCTGCATAACTTCAATCAGTAAGTTGTTTGTGATGCGGTTGATCTTGATACTCACAATAGAAACGAAGAATGAAATAATAATGTGAATGGATGAAAAAGTTCGGTTTGTTTTATGCAAAAAACAAACAAACATATAAGAAACACTTTTTCTTGTGAACAGAGACATTCCTCTTCTAACTGCTAACTCTCAGCCACTACTCACAGAATATTATCTTATCTCCAATATAGAGGACAACACACTTCTATACAAACAAGATCAATTCACTTGACTAACCCAACCCTTCCTTTTCATCCTAACACAAATAGTATCAATTACGATATAACTTTGTCCTCGAGGTCACTTTGTCTTCTAGGTTGAGAGATTGCAATTGTCCCTCAATAGTAGAAGTCCTCTCAAGGAAACCCGTTACAGTTGATCCAAAATCAGACCCCCAAACAGGAACTTCTTGTCTTGCCCCATATATAAAAGAAAATAAACACCCTGTAACGTTCTTAATTGCGCTGTGCCAATCCCTTTGAAGGAATATTCTGATAGTAGCCTTAAAAGAGGCATCATATATACCTTCAGTACATCAACTGGAGCATTCTTTAGTAACATGTCACCAGATCCAGATTGTGATGTTCCAATGTAATTGCTTCGTTATTACAACTGGTTACTTCTACGGGGTCGAAATAAAATGTCACATTAGGCCATCCTACTGTCTCATTATCTCTTCCTGAATCCCACGGATTGGATAGGAAATTGGCAAAGGTCTGACCCAAATGTCCTAAACCAATGTTAACAACACTTCTCTAGCATCGAAATGAACTCTTGTTGCAGCTTTGTGTTTATTCTCAGCATTGGGTTGGACTTCAATATAACTAGCGGATCTCTGCCTAGCTCCTTGGAGTGAAACGGACTTCAATTCTAGCCCTCTTTTCTTGAATTCCAGAAGTTCTGGAACGGATCCAGAAGATGACATTGAATGAGCAGCACTCATCCCCTCAGCTTCATACATACTTCTGATATTCATCAGATTAAGGCTTGAAGAAGTTGTTCTTTATTTGGGATATCTTTTGCTTCTACATTACCTGCTATAAACACAAATTTGGTTGTTCTTTTCACTTTTTAGTGAAAGAAGAATCCGCCTTCAATTTCACTGACACGAGAAAGTTACCTTCTTTTCAGTTGAAGATGGCCTGCAATCTTTATTTGTGTTGATTCGTTTATTGATATAGGAAGTGGTCACCCACATAAGAGAAGAACAAAGATTCATGGGATAAACAAAGAACAAAATGTGTCTAATTCTTGATAAAATTGGAGTTCAATCTATGGATTAAAAGTTACACACTGTCACACAGTCTACTGTGTTTTTTTGTTGTTGTTGTTGTCATCATCATCATCATTGTCAAAAAAGCAAATACTGGAAAGAATACTTTTCTTCTATTAATTCTTCCTCAAGTGAGGTCTTTTATACACAGAGAAACAATTCTATATATCAGTATCAGAAACAGATCTGCATCAGTAACAGAATACCAAAAAAACAAATTGCTAAACTACTTCCCCCTATTTTCTGATTACAGTTGTTATTCCTATCTTTTAAAACAACAATTTAAATTCAAACTTGGATTTTAACACTCCCCCTCAAGTTGGTGCATGAATGTCTACCATGCCTAACTTGCCAATTGCTCTTTGAAATACTTTTCCAGAGACTGCCTTTGTTAAAATATCCGCAAGCTGATCTTCTGACTTTACGAATGGGAATTGGATGATCTTCTGGTCTAGTTTTTCTTTAATAAAGTGTCTATCCACTTCAACATGCTTGGTTCTATCATGTTGAACTGGATTAAATGCAATTTCAATGGCAACCTTATTATCACAGTGTAGATTCATAGGCTGATCACAATGAATTCCCAAGTCCTTCAAGACACTCTTGATCCATAATAACTCACAAACACCATGTGCCATTCCTCGGAACTCTGCTTCAGCACTTGACCTTGCTACCACTTTCTGTTTTTTGCTTTTCCATGTGACTAAGTTACCTTCCACAAAGGTGAAATATCCCGATGTGGATTGTCCAGTGGTTTTATCTCCTGCCCAGTCCGAATCTGTATAGCCCTCAATACTCTGGTTGCTTCCTTTCGAAAAGAGTAGGCCCTTTCCTGGAGTCCCCTTTAAGTACCTCAATATTCTAAACACAACATCCATATGCTCTTCACTAGGATTATGCATAAATCTACTAACAACACTTACCGCATAAGCAATGTCTGGCCTAGTGTGTGATAAGTAAATTAGTCTCCCCACCATCCTTTGGTATCTGCCAATATCTGTTTCAACTTGGTTAGGATAATACCAAGTGAGTGATTCATCTCAATAGGAGTTTCTACAGGTTTGCAAGCCAACATTCCAGTTTCGGTCAAGAGATCTAATATATACTTTCTTTGTGACAAGAATATTTCTTGTTCTGACCTTGCAATCTCAATTCCAAGAAAGTATTTCAAATCTCCTAAATCCTTCATTTCAAATTATGTTGCTAAGTGTTGTTCTAATACTTTCATTTCACACAAATCATCACCAGTAAGAACCATATCATCAACATAAACAATTAATACAGTTACCTTCCCCTTCTTCTGTTTGATGAACATGGTGTGGTCTGCATTACTCTGTTTATATCCAAACTTCTTCGTGGCTAAAGAGAATCTACCAAACCACGCTCTGGGTGACTGTTTGAGCCCATACAAGGCTTTCTTCAACTTGCATACTTCATTTCCTGTTGTTCTAACTCCTGGTGGTATTTCCATGTAGACTTCCTCTTCTAAATCTCCATTTAGAAATGCATTTTTTACATCGATTGTTTCAAGGGCCAGCCCCTATTGGCTGCTATGGAAATTAGAATCCGAATTGTGTTGAGTTTGGCCACTGGAGCAAAAGTTTCTTGGTAATCAACTCCATACTTTTGAGTGTATCCCTTGGCAACTAACCTTGCTTTGTATTTATCAATGCTTCCATCTGCCTTTAATTTCACAGTGAAGACCCATTTGCACCCAATGGTCTTTTTTCCATGTGGTAATGTAACCAGCTCCCAAGTAGAATTTTTCTTTAAAGCTTCCATTTCTATCTTCATGGCTTCCTTCCACTTTGGATCTTCCAAGGCATCCTGCACACAACTAGGAATACAAACACTAGATAATTGATTAAGGGTCAGTGCATATGATTCGGATAGTCTATGGGTGGACATATAATTACCAATTGGGTATTTAATTTTGACTTTGGGATCGGGTTCATATATCTGTTTTGGTATTCCTTTAGTAGCTCTTTGTGACCTTCTGACAACAATATTAGGAGAATGAGAAATAATGTCAAGGTTTGAAGGAACTAAGATAGGTTCGGTACTTACCTCATTTGTGTTTTCAGTTTGATGGGCAGGAACATCCAAGGGTGACTCCTCGGTTATGTGTGTTAAAGGTGGTGGCTCATCAACTGAAGATGTGTCTTGTGCAGGTACAGATTCTGTTGTAGTGGGGATATCGCAATGCACATTTGATTCTGCAGGGGCTGATTCGGATTCAATAAAAGGCACAACTTGTTTGCAAGTCCAGAAATCTTCTTCTCTAATATAATTAGAGCCCCTCTCCCCCTGAGAAGAAGAAGTCGAAACTCCCCCTGAATAATATGCCTCAGATTCATTGAAGGAGGCCTCCAAAGTAACATGCATTTTGTGAAGAAGTGGATCAAAACATCGATATCCTTTTTGCAAGTCAGAGTAACCAACAAATATACATTTTTTGGCACAAGGATCCAGTTTGGTTCGCAAAACTCTGGGCACATGAACATACACAGTACAACCAAACACTCTAGGTTCAAGATTAGGAATGTGGGGAAGGGAAAAATAGCATTCTAATTTTTTTTGAGGAGTCATGAAGTTGAGAACACTAGAAGGGGTTCTATTGAGCAAATAGGCAGCAGAGGTAACAGCCTCACCCCAATAATGTTTAGGTACATTCATGTCAAACAAAGATGCACGAACCACTTCTAACAAATGTCGATTTTTACGCTCAGCCAAACCATTCTGTTGAGGGGTATAAGGGCAAGATGTTTGGTGTCGAATGCCACGATCTGTGAGAAACTGAGCAAAGTGGCCGTCCATATATTCCATGCCATTATCAGTCTGAAGAATCTGAATTGGAGAAAGAAACTGAGTTTGAACCATACTGTGAAATTTTTTAAACGCAGAGAAAACATCCCCTTTGTGGCGTAACAAGGAAATCCAAGTCATACGAGTACATTCGTCAATAAAGGTTACAAAGTAATATGCTTTGGAAAAAGAAGAAACTTTAGCAGGGCCCCAAACATCAGAATGTATAACTTGAAAAGGAATGGAACTTTTATTAAGACTAGGAAAAAATGGAATTCTGTGGCTTTTAGCCATGTCACAGATATTACATTGAAATTCAGTTTTATTGAAAACAGAAAACAAATGAGGAAATAGCTTCCTAAGGTATCCAAAAGAGGCATGACCGAGCCTCCTATGCCATAGCCAAATAGATGCTCTTGTCTGATCTTCAGTAGTAACAGAACAAATTCGAGTCAGGGAAGATTCAGTGCC